CCCCAAAACCCCAAAACCCCAAAACCCCAAATTTTCTATTATATATTGAATATTTAGATTATTTCTAAAAATGAATTTGGCCACAAAGCCTCTGCCTGAATCTCGGTTGATCAAGTATTTAGAAAATCTTAAAAGAAAGAAAATCACTCCGAAATTTAAGACTCTGAGGTCCCAGATTCGCAAGAATATTGTTAAATAAGCAGCATAAGGAGAGCAAACTCTCTTGAATGCATCTTAAATGAAATTGCTCATTTTCAGGATCTGTAGAAAATATATGCAGATGTGCACCTCACATCATAGATAGTAGACAGTAAGTCACTTTGGTTGATCGAGGACTAATGGAATATAGCCAAACACAACAGAGCGATGCTGGTGTAGCTAAAGAGCCGAACAATAGGCCCTGAAATAGCAAAATTAGTATCAATGTAAGAATGGATAAAGCCTACATGCCCAAGAAATCTCAGGTGTTTAAATTTAATAATATGGTTAAATTGAAAAGACCCTCTACCAAGTATCCCCTTTCTTTTATGATTTAGTGTGCATCGAAAGAGGTCCAAGTTCACTTGGGATCCAAATAAGACACTGAAGAATCCCAAAATAACGACCAGGGATCAGAGAGAAGCTCCTGCCGATAGAGTTAAGAGGTTCTTAAAATGATTCAATCCAGACCTAAATTCAAACTCCTTTGAGAATTCTAGAAATAATCAGACTGTTTATGCCAAAAGGCCGCTGAATAATCAGTCTGTAGAGACAATCCCTCTTAGAGAGATCCAATTGGAGCATACTTTAGGAGGTCTTGTGACTAAAGAAATCTCTCTGAATCGTAATTATTGCCATGACTTGTCATGACTAATAACTAATAACTCTTGAGACCTCGAAAAGAAGATTCCTTTCAAAGAGAGAAAGACCATTAATCTTAAGACTCTGAAGATACCAGAAATAATGAATATACAAATAATGGCTCCTAAGAATGACCCCAGAGGTTTTAGGCAGAAGTCTAGGTGTGACCATGGGTTCTTGAATGTTATAAATACAAAAGGATTCGCAAAAAGTATAGGTAATTTGGAAAGAGAAATTTCACCTTGATAATCAAATTCATCTTGAAAATGACTAATATTACATAGACATAAAGCAAAGATATAGCAAAAGAGAGCCTCAAGGCTCTCTTTTGACAAAGAAAAAATCGAATTCAAGCTTCCTTTCAATTTCAAGGTCAGGAAGGGAATTGAGAGCATCAGATAAAGGCAGCTCTGATGGTGAGCTTATGCCGGTTTATAAAATCAATAAGAGCAAGTTAAAGTTTAATTTGCTAATTCAAGATAAAATTAGAAGCCCTAATAACAAGGTAAGGGTCTGTTTGATATAGAATTTAGAATAGAAGAAATCATACTGGCAACAGAAATTTAAAGAGACTTAATACAAATGGGTAATACAAATATACAGAGTTTTTAAATGTTTGAGTTTAAGGAAAGATTTACTAATCCTATTCTATCTTACTTCCTCATATATATTGCCACCATATTATTTTGAGTGGTGATAGTTTTGGATGATCAGGCTATCAATCTCTAATCTTAAAAATGGGGTTTTGGGGTTTTGGGGTTTTGGGGTTTTGGGG